TAGACAAAAACCCCCCAAAAAAAAAAAAAAAAAAAAAAAAAAGATTAGCTGTTCAGGAACACCTGGGGGTGCTTGTAGCCTGGTCCAGCCCCAGGGTAAGTGTCTCCCAGAACTCAGCTGTGAGGCTTCCAGGCACTTCTTCCCGGCCCTGGCTGACTTTCAGGAAAAGCATCCCACCCATCCTCTTACCCAACTCTTTCAGGACGTGCAGACCCTCCCTGGAATTACACCCACCTGGAAGATGTGGTGTAATCAAGCACGAAAGGCCTTGGAGAAGCCAGAGAAGGCAGTGGGTGTGCCTGAGGTCCCAGTCCTGGGTGCTCCACCATCCCCATGTGACACTTGGTAAGTCATTTTGTCTCTGAGCCTCCCTCTTCTCATTTGTAAGACACTAGACCAAGAGTGGGCAAGCATTTGCTCTAAGGGCCAGATATTAGACATTGCAGACTTAGTAAGCCACATGCCACAGCCAGCCCCCCTCACTGTCTCGCGTATGCAAGCTCTCGGTGTAGCGCCAGAGTCGCAGGTGATAAGTAAAGGCGGGGTTGACTTAGCCACGCAGCAGAGTGCCAGGGGCCCTCGATCCTTTTCAGGGCCCACGACAATATTCTAAAGTTTAAAGTCTGTGATATCATGATATTAGTATGGTTTTTGCCCACAGTTCCTGGCTTATACGTATTTGGCCTTTATCCTTGGTTCCTGAAGAAGCTTGGACACCGTTTCAGAGAAAGAGAAAAAAGACATCCGCCTCCTCTGCCCTCCTTTCCTCTGCCCCCTTTCTCCTCCTCTGCCCTTCTTCCCTCTGCCCCCTTTCTCCACAAGCCCTGCCGAAGAAACAGCCCCAAGGCAGGTCATAGAAACTCTAGTCTTCCCTTACCTTTCTGGCAAGAAATCACAAGACCCTCATTCTAGAAAGGTCCTGCCCTATGCTGGGGAGGAACCAATGTCACACAGGCCAAGAAACGTCTGAACAGACAGGCCTTGCTGGGTTTGCCCACCCAGCTGATCCGCATTTCACGCCTATGCCATGGATTCTCCTTAAGAACCGAAAGGACAGTGTTCTGAGAGCTCCCAGAGAGCCAACCATGTGGAACTTCCAAGGAGAACAAGAGCTCATCCACGTGCGAGGAACACAGCACACCCCTACTCCATGGGGTAGGACCTCACCCTGTGTATCCTTCACCTGGCTGTTTATTTGTATCCCTTAAAAGGATCTTTTTCATAAACTATAACTGTAAATAAGTGCTTCTCTGAGTTCTCAGAGCCACTCTAGCAAATTAATCAGACCCGAGGGGAGAAGGAGGTTGTGGGAACCCCAACGTGTAGTCCATCAGTCAGACGTTCCAGAACCCCAGACCTGAGACTGGTGTCTGAACTGAGGGTGGTCTTGTGGGACTGAGCCCTCAACCTGTGGGATCTGAGGTGATCAGAGTGTCAGAACTGAACTGGCTTAGGGGACACCTCGGTGGCACCCTCTGCAGGACTGCTTACTCGCTTGTCGGCAGGGCAAAATCCCCTCATGTTTTGTGTTTACAGAACTAGTCTATGTGGAGACAAAAGAAAAGAAAAGCAGTTTTGTTTTTGTCGGACTCAAAGTCAGAAGGTAAAAAGACTATAACAATAACGAATACACAATCATGAATTCACCCCAGGTTATGCTTGTTTATACTGAAAACGTAATTTTTATTTGCTATCCTTTTGTGGAGGAAGGAACCACAAAGACAAAGGTGTTTGGGGCCTGTGAAAGTCAGACAATGGCCCTCTGTAACAGAATACAGTATGATTTATGGATACTGACATTCCAATTTCTTATAGTGCCCCTTTGTCATAAAATAGTATTCTTTTGATTACCCCCCATAAATGTAGTAGTCATTACATTATCACCTAAAAGTGTAATAGTCATTCTTAACTCATGAGCCACACGAAACAGGGGGGTGGGGCTCCCAGCCCGCACTGAAGGACCACCAAGCCTTTCCAGCTCATGGTTCGGCCATTGTCGAAAGTGAAATCTGGAATGAAGTGGAAAGGCAGAGGTTTGGACGAGGGATGTAAAGTCACTCCTCTGACAAACGTTACTGTGATACTTGGACACTAAACACTGAAGTAGGGTGACATGAGAAGCAGTTATGTTGGCATCTAGCAAAAGTCAACAAGTTTAGGACATGTCAGGAGCCGCGGATAGACCTCAGACCACAGGAAGCTGACTGCGTAAACACTCCCAAATAATCAAAGCACAGGAAGGGAGTGTTGGGGTCTCCTTCATGACAATCAAGTCTCTTTTCAATTTTGCTATAGGGTGTGTGCACTCACTAGAGAAAGAGAAAACGTTGAGAAATTACCCCCCAAGAGGAATGGCCATGCTGCAGGCCTTCTCGTCCATTCTCTCAGGATTCTGGGCATGCACACACATGCTCCCTGTGCGATTTCAAGCCACTGGGTCCTGGGACTTGAAGCAAGCAGCTGGCCATGTGGTATTCAGTCACTTTAATCACCATGCCACCAACTGGCCTATGACAACCAATTCTAAAATGTCTTTCAATTCCATTCAATTTCAATGCTAACTACCTGGAATTAAAATCAGACCCCACAGACATAAGGGTTCAGTTTTACAAGACTGCCTCATTCAGAGGCCAGCTGCAACCACCAGGTTCTCAGATCACTCGCACTTTTATCTGACCTGGCCACCAGGTTGGGGGAGGGCGCCCATCACCTCTCCTTCATGCTTAATATTTCCTGGACCAGCTCACAAAACTCAGGGAGACACTTTTCCTTACATTTACCATAAGGATACAGCTTTGCAACAGCCAAGTGGAAAAGCTGCACAGAAGAAGGTATGGGAGGAGGATGCTCAGCGCTTCCATGCCCTCCTTGGACATACCAGCTTCCCAGAGCTTTGATGTGTTCACCAACGCAGAAGCTCTTCAACCCCACTGCTTGGAGGTTGTTATGGGAGTTTCGTCATGTAGGCACGGTTGAGCAAGTCAGCCCGTGGCAGTGAACTCAGTCTTCAGCCCCTCTCCCCTCCCTGGAGGTTGGGAGTGGGGCTGAAAGTAGCAAGGTTCTCATCAAGGCTTCGTCTTTCATTAGAACAAAAGAAAATTCCAAGGGGCTTAGAAGTTCTGTGTCAGTAACTTAGGACAAGACCAACTGTGTATGCGGTCTTATCACACCACAGAAAGCACCAATACCATCACACATGAGAAACACTGCCAAGTACCCCGCATACCCCAGCTCAGGTTTCACAATTCCTATTGTAGGTATGTACTACTGCATGTGCAGATGAGGAAACAGAGGTGAAGCAGCCTTCTCGAGGTCACGCCACCAATAAATGAGTGCGAAACTAGAAGCCAGACTGGTGCCTAAAATCCAAGTGCAACAACTGCAGGTAAGAAGTGGTCCTCGGGACCAGCAGTTAGCGTAATGGCTATGTCGCTGGACTCCCACGTAGTCGACCGTGGTTCACGTCCCGGACCTGGTGGCTTAAAACTCACGCCGGGCTCATGTGCGTGCGTGCCCAAGATCCCAAGAGGAGAATGGAGAAGGGATTGCGGCGTGGCCATCCCCCCTGGGGGTGATTTCTTGCTTTCTGTCTCTCTGTCTCTCTCTGTCTGGCAAGGTATATGAAAAACCTCTTAAAAAAAAAAAAAAAAAAAAAAAAAAAGAAGTCGTCCTCATTATATGACCCAAGATTGCTTTATAGCAGTGGTTTTCAGCCAGCGGCCATTTTGCCAACAGGGGAGATCTGGCAGTTTCTGAAGGCATTACTCATCTTCATTACTGGAGTGGGGTGGGGGCTGCTATTGGTGTCTCTCGAGTAGAGGCCAAGAATGCTGTTAACTAACCTACAGCACACAGGACAGCCCCCCATAGTGGAGTTACCGGTTCTAAATGGAAATAGTGCCAGTGTGAGAAAGCCTGCTTTCACAGATCTTCCCATGTTTTTCGCTGTGTGCCTGCCTAAAGAAATTACCTTCTTGGACATTTTTTAAAAAGAATGAGACCGGCAGGTGGCATGCTGGTGGAAGGTGCTGGACTCCCACAAGGCTGACTGTGGTTTGAGTCCCGGACCAGCTTGCTTTTTCTTACTTTCTCTCTCACTCTGTCCCTCTCTGGTCAAATTAAAAATAAATAAATAAATAAAGTTACATAAAATAATTCTTTGTTTAAAAAAAAGAATTACTTATTGGGTGGCAGGTGGCATGGTGGTTAAGGCACTGGACTCCCACCTGACTGACCGTGGTTTGTGTCCCAGACCTGGCAGCTCGCTTTCTCACTTTCTCTCTGTGTCTCTCTCTGGTTAAGTTAAAAAAAAATTTAAAAAAAGAAAAAAGAATTTTCTAAAGAATTGTTTTATTTAGTTCTATTTACTGTTTTTTTTAAGATTTGCTATAGGGCACATGTGTGCACCAGAGAGAGAGAGAAGGAAAGTGAGGAAGCAAGCCACCAGGAACTTGAACCATGGTCAGCCATGTGGGAGTCAGCGCCTTAACTACCATGCTGGCCCCCCTTCTTGGACATTATCAAGTCGGCATCGTAAAATATCTCATCAGAAGTTTACATAGTTGCAAAGGATATCATTTACAGCTCACTATAAATATTGGCACTTGAGTAAAATTGTACGTTTTTCTTTAAATACAAAAGAATCTGGGAAACTTAGCAAGTTGATACCAAACATCAACCCATGATAAAAACATGTAAATAGGTTTTCTTTAAGAGTAATTTTACATCCTGCTTTCCCTCATAAACTTGTATTTACACTCGACTACTTCCACAGAATTGTATCCTAATATTGTTTGTCTTCGTGTGTGTGTGTGTATACACATGCATGTATATATATGTCTGTCTGTATAAATGTTCTAAAATATTCAGAGTCAAATGGAGTCATCTGGATCAACATGTGTTAAACCCCGACTAAAGCAAGCTGGGGAAGCCATAGAGGAGGCGGTTCTCATCCAAGCACTCAGATAACAAGAACTGTCACAATCTTGCACTAAGACCATTGCAACCTTGCACCGAAAGTACTTCTGCCAGGACAGTTGTCCAGAAACTGCCTGTCCACCCAGGACTGACACTACACTCGTCACTGATCCTGGTAGCCAAGGGTAACTTCCAAAACAACTTACGCAATACCTACCTATTTTTCTTTTAAAAACCCTTGTCTTTCCTGACCTCTCTGAATATGGCCATAGTTTACTGTGGCAAGAGTATCCCGCATTGCAATGTGATGCCTGTTGGGAATAAATATCATTTCCCTCTCTCTCTCTCTTTCTTTAATGCCAGATGGCATGTGTGCTAAGCAGAGAGAGTAAGAGAGAGAGAAATCGCCCCCCTACTAATGAGATGTAATCACACCACGCAATCATTTTTCCTGCATTTCCCCATCCAGTCAGGATTTTAGACGTACAAGCACATGCATCTGGCATGTTTTTTAAGCTGCTGGGGCTGGGAATTGAACTACAGTCAGACCTGTGTGATCTGGCTCCCGAGGCAGAAAGCTTGACCCCTGCCAACCCAACACCACTTTTCTTTAGTGGGTTTTTCTCTCTGTTCATTATTTAGAAGTTGGCAGTCTACACATTGATTGCTTACTCTTTCACACTTGCAACCAGATAGGCTCATTAATTAAAATGATATATCTGATTCATTTTTCTTCCACCATAAGCCTCCAAGTTTTGCAAAGTTTTCTAAAAGAAAACTTTAATAAATTTAATTTAATAAATAAATTATAATCTAGAAGATTAGGTAATTACAGAATTAACCAAAATCTGTTGTTATAATTATTCCACACTCTAACTCGTTTTTTTGTTAATTCACCTCTTAATAAGATAGGATAAGGTTATTATTAATTTTTTTTTTTTTGAGAGAGAGAAACATTTTTGCTATAGGGCACATGCACTCACCAGAGAGACAGAGACAGAGAGAGAGAGAAGGTGAGAAATCATCCCCCAGCGGGGATGGCCACATAGCAATCCCTTCACCTCCATCCTCCTTTCAGGATTTTGGGCACACATGCACACATGCCTGAAGTGAGGTTTTTAAAGCCGCCAGGTCCAGGACTGGAAAGGCAGTCGACTATGTGGGAGTCCAGCAACATCACCATTGTGCCATCTGCTGGTCCCTTCAGTGGGGTTCTTTTTAAAAAGTCAATTAATGAATGATTGTTCTGACTGCTTCACTGAGAAGTCACCATTTATTATATGCCCATTTTTCATTTTTATAAATGTAAGTACTTAGAAGTTCTGGGACTGGAAGTTTTGTTACAACAATGTCACTTAATTCTTTGAATTCTTCTAAGTTAACTTAAAAATCGTACTGTGATCATTATTTTGAGTAATATATCAGCTGATGATTCAATTAGATTGTCTTTTGGTTCTGTCAAAAGCAAACATTAGAATCATTGATGCCTTCAGTTTCTGGGAAGCTTGCCATAAAGATCTAACCAGCACTTCTCACATAATTATTAATTACACCTCTGACACTCCCTCAGTGGATCAGGTTAACACTCGGGGTTAGGTAAATTAAAACATTATTAACTTTAATATATCTTTCCAGTGTCATATCTTTTATAAAATGCTTTTATCTTATAATGAGTTTCAATTATGTTTTAATCAAAACTTAGAAGCCACAGATTCAGTTAGTTTAATCTATGGAAATGTTTGCCATGTAACATCATTGGAAAGATCAGTCTTTGGGGCCAGCAGGCAGTGTGGAGGTTAGAGGTATTGGATCCTACATGGCCGGCTGTGTGGTTCCAATCCTGAACCTGGTGACTTGGAAATCACACTGTGTGTGTGTGTGTGAGTGTATGTGTGTGTGTGTGTGTGTGTGTGTGCCCAAAATCTCAAGAGGAGAATGGAGGAGAAGTGATTATGGCAAAACCATCCCCTCTGGGGGGTGGGGGCGAGTTCTCACTTGCCCTCTCTCTGTCTCTCTCTCTCTAGTGAGCATGAATTCAAAAACAGAAGCAAGGGGCCTGCAGGTGGCATGGTGGTTAAGGCACTGGACTCCCACATGGCTGACTGCAGTTCTAGTACCAGACCAGGTAACTTGCTTCCTCACTTTCTCTCTCCCTGTCTCTCTCGTGAGTACACATACCCTATTAAAAATTAAAAATAATAACAATAATAAATAAATTAATTAAATTATAAAAAGAAAAAGAAAAAAGGGAAAACTTCAATCTTTTATTGTTGATGACAGCAGCTAAAGCAAACTTGTTTCTATCAGGAAAAGAAAAAATTTAATCTTACTCTTCAATTCAACTAAGAATGTGGCTTGAGTGCAACTCAATGACACCCATCTTATCTTGTATTTTGAATTCCAGGGAAGGAAGAGTTAGATAGACGGGCAGGTAGGTAGACAGATAGACGGGGGTCTGGATGAGCCCAGGTGCTCCCACCGTCTGTCCTTAACCCTCATGCAGCATTGCTCTGACATCACGGCCCCTGGCAGTGACACATTCTCTGAAAGAAGTGAGATTGCTAACAAACAAACAAACAAACAAACTAACAAACACTCCTTCAGTCCTGCCAGCCCACTGTACAAAATAAGACAAAACCCTTCAGTTCTGGGGACTATCAGATGGTTATGTCGCTGGGCTCCCATATAGTCAACTGCAGTTCAAGTCCTGGATCTGATAGCTTAACAGTCATGTGGAGTGGGTGTGCATGCCCAAAGTCCCAAGAGGAGAGTAGAGGAGGAGGGATTGCGGCGTGGCCATCCCCCTTGGGGGCGGGGGGGCGGTGATTTCTCGATTTTTCTCTCTCTGTCTCTCTAATGAGCACATGCGCCCTATAGCAAAAATCTCTCTCTAACAACAACAATAAAAAATATCCTTCAGTTCTAATGCCTTATTTTGCTTTTTAAAAATATACACATATATGACACAATAATAATTTATATATTGGGTTGTCAGAAAATTCATAGTATATTTTTTCATGTGTTTCTATGCAAAAGTGTGTCATGACTTTTCTGATGAGCCTATCATCTATGTCTCTCTCTATCTATTTATGGCATAATAAGAAATATAGCTGGTCTTAGGCCAGCTGTTGGCATGGTGGTTAAGGCAACTGGATCCCATATGACCAACTATGAGGTTCAAGTCCCAGACCCAGCGGCTTGAAAAACACCCCATGTGTGTGTGTGTGTGTGTGTATGTGTGTGCCCAAAATTCAGAGAGGAGGATGAAGGAAAAGGGAATGCAGCATGGCTATCCCCCCTAGAAGGTGTTTTCTCACTTCCTCTCTCTGTAGCTCGCCTGTGAGTGCATGTGACTATGGTCTTTGGTCTTTGTCCCTGGTTCCGTGTGCAAAGCTCCTAAAATTCCCATTGTGTTCTGAGTAGTAGGAGTGCCTTTCTTTATTTATAATTAGCCACTTTGGCTTCCTGAGTACATACATTTGAGTTTACACTACTGCGGTAACTTAGGATGGGGTCTCTAGGTAGCCTCAGATCATGTTTTTAAACTTAACTCCTACACTAGGCCCCAATAGGCCAGACTGAAAATCAACATGGAGTACCTCATGCAAAAGTTTCACCTCACCACGCTGAAACTATGCTGTTTACTTGACCTTCCCAGGGACCAGGAGAATTTCCCAAACAGGCATTTCTGTAGACGTGACAGTGAAGTTCCCTTGGTTTAATCATTACACAAGAAAAGGAACCTGAAGGGACCTGTGTTAACTTGGGTTCATCTACTGTCTTCTCCCTGCTCTCACCTCACAAGGTAAGCAAATTGAAATGTAACAATAATAAATAAATTAATTAAATTATAAAAAGAAAAAGAAAAAAGGGAAAACTTCAATCTTTTATTGTTGATGACAGCAGCTAAAGCAAACTTGTTTCTATCAGGAAAAGAAAAAATTTAATCTTACTCTTCAATTCAACTAAGAATGTGGCTTGAGTGCAACTCAATGACACCCATCTTATCTTGTATTTTGAATTCCAGGGAAGGAAGAGTTAGATAGACGGGCAGGTAGGTAGACAGATAGACGGGGGTCTGGATGAGCCCAGGTGCTCCCACCGTCTGTCCTTAACCCTCATGCAGCATTGCTCTGACATCACGGCCCCTGGCAGTGACACATTCTCTGAAAGAAGTGAGATTGCTAACAAACAAACAAACAAACAAACTAACAAACACTCCTTCAGTCCTGCCAGCCCACTGTACAAAATAAGACAAAACCCTTCAGTTCTGGGGACTATCAGATGGTTATGTCGCTGGGCTCCCATATAGTCAACTGCAGTTCAAGTCCTGGATCTGATAGCTTAACAGTCATGTGGAGTGGGTGTGCATGCCCAAAGTCCCAAGAGGAGAGTAGAGGAGGAGGGATTGCGGCGTGGCCATCCCCCTTGGGGGCGGGGGGGCGGTGATTTCTCGATTTTTCTCTCTCTGTCTCTCTAATGAGCACATGCGCCCTATAGCAAAAATCTCTCTCTAACAACAACAATAAAAAATATCCTTCAGTTCTAATGCCTTATTTTGCTTTTTAAAAATATACACATATATGACACAATAATAATTTATATATTGGGTTGTCAGAAAATTCATAGTATATTTTTTCATGTGTTTCTATGCAAAAGTGTGTCATGACTTTTCTGATGAGCCTATCATCTATGTCTCTCTCTATCTATTTATGGCATAATAAGAAATATAGCTGGTCTTAGGCCAGCTGTTGGCATGGTGGTTAAGGCAACTGGATCCCATATGACCAACTATGAGGTTCAAGTCCCAGACCCAGCGGCTTGAAAAACACCCCATGTGTGTGTGTGTGTGTGTGTATGTGTGTGCCCAAAATTCAGAGAGGAGGATGAAGGAAAAGGGAATGCAGCATGGCTATCCCCCCTAGAAGGTGTTTTCTCACTTCCTCTCTCTGTAGCTCGCCTGTGAGTGCATGTGACTATGGTCTTTGGTCTTTGTCCCTGGTTCCGTGTGCAAAGCTCCTAAAATTCCCATTGTGTTCTGAGTAGTAGGAGTGCCTTTCTTTATTTATAATTAGCCACTTTGGCTTCCTGAGTACATACATTTGAGTTTACACTACTGCGGTAACTTAGGATGGGGTCTCTAGGTAGCCTCAGATCATGTTTTTAAACTTAACTCCTACACTAGGCCCCAATAGGCCAGACTGAAAATCAACATGGAGTACCTCATGCAAAAGTTTCACCTCACCACGCTGAAACTATGCTGTTTACTTGACCTTCCCAGGGACCAGGAGAATTTCCCAAACAGGCATTTCTGTAGACGTGACAGTGAAGTTCCCTTGGTTTAATCATTACACAAGAAAAGGAACCTGAAGGGACCTGTGTTAACTTGGGTTCATCTACTGTCTTCTCCCTGCTCTCACCTCACAAGGTAAGCAAATTGAAATGACGGATCTGCTTTGTGTTCCTCATTTCTGCCTTTTCAGTCTTTGTCTATAAAACCAACTTCTTTTGCTCGATGCATTGAGACACCTTTATTTTACAGTTTATTGACTTTTTTCTCCTATGAGAGAGAGAAACAGAGAGAGAGAAAGAATAGAGACACTTTCCCCACCCCACCCCACCTCACTCCCAAGGGGTCTACTCACCATGATCTACCCCAGACTTGGCCACTCTAGATTCCTGGCCATGTTCTCCTAGACCCCGTGAGCTCAGGGAGGTCCCAGTACAGGAACCCAGGTACGCTCCCTTGTGGGTCCGGTTGTGGGACTACTGCTCTACCTAACCTGACCCGGAAACACTATTTAATAAAATGAAGTGGTGCCTGATTCTAGAATTACAAAATAAAGCCAATTAAGACTTCTAAACTTGGGCTGGCCCTGTCACCTAGTGGTTAAGGGAGCCAGATCCCAGGGGGTCAGCATGTGGTCAACATGTGTTAAGGCACAGGACACTCCCACATGGCCAACCACGGTTCAAGTCCTGGACCTGGTGGCTTGCTTTCTCACTTTCTCTCTTTCTTTCCCTCTCTGTATCTCTCTCTCTGGCCAAATAATTAAAATAAATAAAAGAATAAGTAAAATTAGACAAATAATTTTTTTTTTTAAAGTGGGAGCCAGAGCCCACATGGCCAACTTAGGTTCAAATACCAGTCCCTGAAGCTTGAAAAATATGCTGGGCACATGTGTGTGCATTCCCCAAATCCTGACAGAATGGAGAAATGGAGAAACAGGGAATGTGGTGTGACTACATCCCATTGAGAGGTTCTTTCTCCCTCTCTCTATCTCTCTGGTGAGTAAATACACCTTATAACAATTGTTTGTTTTTTTTTTTGAGAGGTTTTTGCTATAGGGCACGTGCACTTGCCAGACAGAGAGAGACAGAGAGACAGAAAGTGAGAAATCACCCCTGGGGGGGATGGCCATGCTGCAATCCCTTCTCCTCCATTCTCCTCTTGGGATCTTGGGCACGCACACACATGTGCCTGGCGTGAGTTTTAAGCCACCGGGTCTGGGATGCAAACCGCGGTCGACTACATGGGAGTCCAGCGACATAGCCATTATGCTAACTGCTAGTCCCCACCTTATAACAATTTTTTAAAAAATCTCTAAACTAAATTGTAATGTTGTCTTTTGGTATAATAAACTTGTAAACATAAGTAAAATGTAGCCCTGAGTTGCATGAGGCGTTCTAGCAAGTTATCACACCTGAGGAGGGGGTTGTGCAAATCCCTGATTTGTAGCTGATTGGTCAGTCTAAGAGGTCCAGACTCACAGCTGACATCTGAAGTGGGGGCAGTCATGCGGAAATGGGCCTTCAGCTTGGACTGAGTTATACGGCACCCAGCTGATGACCACAGAGAATCAGAGAATCGTGGGAAAGAAAACCACACATATCTGGTGTCAGAAGAGTTCTGTGTGAAAGGGTAGGGAAATTGTGTGTGTGTGTGTGTGTGTGTGTGAACACATAAAGGGCCAAGAAAAAAACTGTTTTAAAGAGAAAAAAAGAACAAAAACACACACAATATATAGGGGGCCAGCTGGTGGTATGGTGGTTAAGGTGGCTG